GGCGCCGCCCCGCGCCCCCGCGAGCCGCGCCCGCAGCGCGGGAGCCAGGGGCAGGCTGCCCACGTCCCGCTGCATGGCCCGGCCCCCGGGCCCGGCTTCCTGCGCGGCGCCACCCACGTGGACCCCGGGGCCGCCTCCTCCTCCGGCCGGGCGCGCCCCGCCCCGGGCACGTGGCTCTCCCTTCGCAGCCGGCCCATGTGGAGGCCCGGAAGTGCAGCAGCCTCGGCTCCCTGCGGGGGCGCTCTAGTGGCTCTTGCGCAGTCTCGTCTGCTCCTAGGTTCGGCCCTACCCTACTTCTCCAGTGTCAGGCAGGGAGTGACTGGAGCTGACCAGGGTTTTTACCCCTCCTTGTTCCTCCGTCCCTTACAGCCTCCAGCATTTGAGGGCTGGGAAGCTGTGATTCAGCACTCCCCTGCTTACTAGTGATGGATGCTGCTTTCCTCCTATTTTTTTTAATGGCATGTCTCCAGCCAAATGAGCCCTGTCAGTTCTGAATGGCATGGGCTGAGCACAGCTCAGTGGTTTAGGTCTTCATCCGTCTTGGGTTTTGGATGCTCCCAAATCCAAAGCCTGGAGCCTTTGGGGTTCACAGGGCCCCTCGTCTCTCTTGCCCCGAGCACAAAGGCTGCAGGAGATTGAGCAGCTCCCCCACTGCCATCAAATGTGTAGCAGAGGCTGGCATGGTTCAGTCCCCGCTGAGGTGCAGTGGATTTAAGCCCCCTTTATGGAAATGGTAGTCTCCTCCCTTGCTTACTCCAAGGGCCTCACAGCTGAGGGCAAACAAAACTCCGGGGCATCTGAACCCCAAGCCTCTGGGCTTGAGCCTGCAAGTAGGATGCCCAACAAAAGTTTTGGAAACATCTGAGGCCCAGGTGCAGGTGGAGGATGTTTGCCAGTAATAGGGCCATTTATGGTTCTGGACTCTTGGATTTGGCATTAGTTTTGGCTAATTTGGCCTCAGCTACAGATTATATATATATATATATATATATAGTAGCAGAGGCTCTAGTAGACTGTGATGGGGGTCTCAGTCTGCAGCACAATGCCCTCAACTGCACCAAGTCTTTGTGGTCAGGAAGACGGGCATCTCCCCTGCCAGGCAGAGCAAAGCCACCTGAACCAAGGCCACCATCCTGGTGTCCCCCCTACCCCATTTCCCAAGGACATGTCCAATCCCTTTGTGAACCTGGCTATGCTCCCAGCTTGCACTGCTTTGGAGGCAGCGAGGCCCACATTCCCAGGACACCAAATGGTGACACCTTGTGTTCCTGCTTGAACCGACTGTCGTGACCCCTCTTTGACGTACAAGAAAAGCCGGGAGGTGGCTGGTGTTCAGGGGCCACCTCGGGTCCGCTCATGACTGCCAGGTGCTTGGGGCAGGCTCGTGGCTGCCCACAGGGCACCATCCTCCCCAGGGGCTGCTCTAATCCGGGGTTTCTACCCTTGAGGGAGGTCAGGGGCTTGTGGGGGGCGCAGCAAGGAGCTGGAAATAGGTGGGGGGAGAAGAGAAGGGAAGGGGAAAAGAGTGAACAGAGCACAACAGGGAGAAGAGTGGGTGGGGAGACCCCTGCTTTAACCCCAGCCTACAGCTCCCCCCCACCAAGTCGAGCACACAGTCTTCCCAGAGCTTTGTAGCCCTCGGGAGGTTCCATACCCTTTTTTTTGGTTTTTTTTTTTCTTCTGGTTTTTGGTGTTCTTGAGAGATTCCTGTGTTGGTCCTTGCAGGAGCTTGTGGCAGTGCTGTGTGTCCATTCCCAGGAACCCCAAATTACCAGAGATCCAGGTTTTCTATTTGCCATAGAAAAATGCAGAAAAATCAGGATTTTCTTGTTCTGAGGAGAAAAACATGGGAAACAGTGGGTTCCCCCGGCAGGGAGCAGGAGGAGGGCAGTCAGATAGGGGCACCATGTGCATATGTACACCTGCATCTGGACGTGACCAGGGATGTGCCTGGGCAGGTCCCTGCAGGGAAGTGTGGCAGGAAGGACAGGGTGTGGTCAGGGTTTGAGGCCCCCATAGGGAGGGAACTGGGCAGAAAACCCTTAAAACATTAATAATCTTTTGTTTTGACGCAGCCTGTAACTGCCCATGGGGGGCCCTACCATCGTTGCTTCAGGGAGTGCAGGGCACTGGGGTCATGTTGGGCAGTTTGCGGGGCGGACGGGCTGCACTTCCACCACGGTGCACTGTGTTACTGTCAGGTGGTGCCATGGAGCCACTGAGCGGCCCGAGCATGTGGAAGACAGGCTGGGATTCTGGTTGGTTGGGAGGAGAGATTATGCTAATTAGGGGACAGGGTTCCTGGGTAAGGCATGTCAGCAATGTTTGGTTGTGGTGATTGCGGGACCCCAGTGACAGCACAGCTGGCCTGGCATGTGGTGCTGCTGTGGGGTGCAGGTGGATGCTGGGGCTGGTGCTTGGTGGGGCAGTGGTGTGTCACTGTGTCTGTGGAGCATGTGGAGCTGAGGTGGGGGGCGTAGCTGGTGCCTTGCCAAGTTAAGACTATACTTTCAGGGATCATTTCTATAGTTGGTGACTAGAGAAGTGTGTCCGAAAGTGATCGGTCTCGCTAGCCACGAGGACGAGTCGTGGCGCCCTTCCCTGAGCGTGAGGCGGGCGGGCGGCGCTGCTGTGCGGTGCTGCCCGTCATCGATGACCGTTCCGCCCCTTTGGGGGTTGGAGGGGGAGGGCGCGGACTGAGTGGTTAGTGTCTTTCATTGGTTAAAAGCAGAATGTGTGAGAAATGTGGGGTTTTTTTTGGTTTTTTTTTTTCTTCTGGTTTTTGGTGTTCTTGAGAGATTCCTGTGTTGGTCCTTGCAGGAGCTTGTGGCAGTGCTGTGTGTCCATTCCCAGGAACCCCAAATTACCAGAGATCCAGGTTTTCTATTTGCCATAGAAAAATGCAGAAAAATCAGGATTTTCTTGTTCTGAGGAGAAAAACATGGGAAACAGTGGGTTCCCCCGGCAGGGAGCAGGAGGAGGGCAGTCAGATAGGGGCACCATGTGCATATGTACACCTGCATCTGGACGTGACCAGGGATGTGCCTGGGCAGGTCCCTGCAGGGAAGTGTGGCAGGAAGGACAGGGTGTGGTCAGGGTTTGAGGCCCCCATAGGGAGGGAACTGGGCAGGGCTGTGGCTGGGGATGCTGCCCAGCTGGGGTTGGAACATGCAGCTGCAGGGCCTAGGCAGGGAGTGGGGCAGACCCAAGGCAGCTTCTCTGGGAGGCCCTGGCTTCTGTCATAGGCAACACATGGGTGGGCACATGTCCCCCCTGAGATTGGCCACCGCCGTGCGTGGCAGCTATGGGCAGTCCCTGCTCACTGCCCCAGTTATGGGAGGCTCCCCATTACTGCACGCACTCGCAGGGGGGCATGAGGGATTTGTGCGTGGGGTGGGTGTGGGCTCTCCATCCTGCTGCCCTGCCTCACCCCACTCTGCTCTGCCCTGCCACTCCAGGTCCTGCCTGCTGGGCCCCAGAGGCTGGGGAGCCTGAGCCCACAGTGGGCAGCTCGCATCTGCCCTGCCAGCCATGGACTCTGCACCAGCCATGCTGCCCATGGGGAAGTTGGACTCTGCCACAGGCAGCAGCTGGGGCTAGGGTACTGCTGCAAGGGTAGGGAGCTGTGGACCTGGGTCCTTGGACCCATAGCCCTGGCAGCTGGGGGCCCCCTCTGGCACAGCTGGGAGCAGGCAGGGGGGTTGTCAGTGGCAAGTAAGTGGTGCTATCAGGGCTCAGTTGGCTGTGGGTGGGGAAGCAAAGGGGACCACCAGGGCTGGGGAGGTTGTGGGTGGGGAGTGAGGGGCAATGGCATGGGCAGGGCAAAGGCATATCAGGGCTGCTGAGCCCCACAAACTAGTGGCCAGGGAGGAGAGCTGCAGCTGGACCTGCATCCTCATGAGTGAAGGGGGTAGGGTAAGCTCTAATTTTTCATGATAAAAACCCGCAAATCAAATGCCAAAATGTAGAAGTATTTAGAATTTATTGTTACAGGGATTGAGGCACTGGTAGGCTTCCGAACTGCATTCAAATTGTACATATAGCAGTAAAGCATTGTGTTTAACTGGTACGTTTGTGCACATGGATTTTGGGGATTTTAATCAGAGAATTTGCATTTTTTATCAGAGAAAACCAGGATCCCTGAAAAACCCTTAAAACATTAATAATCTTTTGTTTTGACGCAGCCTGTAACTGCCCATGGGGGGCCCTACCATCGTTGCTTCAGGGAGTGCAGGGCACTGGGGTCATGTTGGGCAGTTTGCGGGGCGGACGGGCTGCACTTCCACCACGGTGCACTGTGTTACTGTCAGGTGGTGCCATGGAGCCACTGAGCGGCCCGAGCATGTGGAAGACAGGCTGGGATTCTGGTTGGTTGGGAGGAGAGATTATGCTAATTAGGGGACAGGGTTCCTGGGTAAGGCATGTCAGCAATGTTTGGTTGTGGTGATTGCGGGACCCCAGTGACAGCACAGCTGGCCTGGCATGTGGTGCTGCTGTGGGGTGCAGGTGGATGCTGGGGCTGGTGCTTGGTGGGGCAGTGGTGTGTCACTGTGTCTGTGGAGCATGTGGAGCTGAGGTGGGGGGCGTAGCTGGTGCCTTGCCAAGTTAAGACTATACTTTCAGGGATCATTTCTATAGTTGGTGACTAGAGAAGTGTGTCCGAAAGTGATCGGTCTCGCTAGCCACGAGGACGAGTCGTGGCGCCCTTCCCTGAGCGTGAGGCGGGCGGGCGGCGCTGCTGTGCGGTGCTGCCCGTCATCGATGACCGTTCCGCCCCTTTGGGGGTTGGAGGGGGAGGGCGCGGACTGAGTGGTTAGTGTCTTTCATTGGTTAAAAGCAGAATGTGTGAGAAATGTGGGGTTTTTTTTGGTTTTTTTTTTTCTTCTGGTTTTTGGTGTTCTTGAGAGATTCCTGTGTTGGTCCTTGCAGGAGCTTGTGGCAGTGCTGTGTGTCCATTCCCAGGAACCCCAAATTACCAGAGATCCAGGTTTTCTATTTGCCATAGAAAAATGCAGAAAAATCAGGATTTTCTTGTTCTGAGGAGAAAAACATGGGAAACAGTGGGTTCCCCCGGCAGGGAGCAGGAGGAGGGCAGTCAGATAGGGGCACCATGTGCATATGTACACCTGCATCTGGACGTGACCAGGGATGTGCCTGGGCAGGTCCCTGCAGGGAAGTGTGGCAGGAAGGACAGGGTGTGGTCAGGGTTTGAGGCCCCCATAGGGAGGGAACTGGGCAGGGCTGTGGCTGGGGATGCTGCCCAGCTGGGGTTGGAACATGCAGCTGCAGGGCCTAGGCAGGGAGTGGGGCAGACCCAAGGCAGCTTCTCTGGGAGGCCCTGGCTTCTGTCATAGGCAACACATGGGTGGGCACATGTCCCCCCTGAGATTGGCCACCGCCGTGCGTGGCAGCTATGGGCAGTCCCTGCTCACTGCCATGGTGTGCCCCCCCCCCCCCCCCCC